AGATATATATATAGTAATACTGATAAGCAAAGATTGGATACCTTCTTTTTTTAAATTGTTCACATTGACTGCAAGTAAAATTCCGTTTAATTTTTGCTTAAAAATGACATTTTTCATCATCATCAAAGTGTTTTATTTGACTTTTACAAAATTAGCAAAAACAAGCTGCGGTGATCTTGCCTATAAGCATTAGAAGACATAAAGATTGCTTATATGTTTTCGTTATTGATGGAATCTGAAATGACTTTTTTTCCCCTGCGAAAAATAAGAAATTTCCCTAAACCGTTGAATTGCAGGTATTTTTTGTGATCTATAAATGAAAACTTATATAAACGTATGTTTAAAGTTGAATTTAAGGCACATTTTAATACCATTATCTTACATTTTGCAGACAAAATCATTGCAAAAATAGCCATTTGAAATTCGGATTTCTTTTTACAGGCTCTTTTTATGTTTTCACTGAAATATACATTATTTTCTTTTGTTATCAATTAATCATTACCTTTCAATTCATAAATGATATTATAATTCTTTTAAGATTATGTTTGTGATCACTAGATTTTACTTTTCTGCAAATTAAAACACAAACTACAAAGCAAATTACCAATGGAATTACACATTGTTTATACAGATAGTTATGTCTTCGCTTCATATAAAATGATCAATATATTTTCAGATTATCGAAGTAAATCAAACCATCATTACTTTATTACAGATAATGTTGCACATGTTGTACACAAATCACATGATCCTCATGCATACAGATGATAAGATAAGGCCTTGGGAACAAGAAACTTAGGGATTTAAATAAAAAAAATAGTTAAGGAGAAATGAACTTGCTGCTTGCATGAAAAATTCATTACCCAATTAGTTATCTTTTTTATCTATGTTTCAACATACAGAAAGCAACATCAATATTTGAGCATCATTAAAGTCAAAATATCTTAATCAGTGTATTTATATAAATACTAATCAGTCAGTATACAGAAGTGTTTAATATATGGCATATGGAGGAGTGAGTGAGCATCCCCTGTCGATCGTTTACACACACTGCGTGCTTCTTGTCTTCATCTGGAAAATAAGGCAAAAAAGAATGTCGAAAATCAAGTGTGTATATAATGGCTTAACAATAAGTCAAACGACATTTTACAGATTGTCTTTGCTGACAAGGTCTGTATCGACCATTCATCTTACGAAATGATGACTTTAACTAGATAAAATTAATTTTTGCTGTTCAAATATGCATGTACAATAACAAGACAATATTGGAGCAGAGCATACACAGACCTCCAAAAAAGAAATACAAATGCGAATCACGAGAGCCTTAGCTGCACCTGTTCAAAAGTTATGGCCAAGTTTAAAGTTTTTTAAAAGTAAGTTCAAAGTCCGGAGTCAAGGTCAAAGGGTCAAATTGTTTGATTTCTAAAGAAAGGTCTTGTCTCGAGGATTACATATGTGAAGTATGAAAGTCAAAGCCCTTACCGTTTAAAAGTTAAGGCCAAGGTAAAGGTTGTTGGTATCCAATGGAAATTCTTGTTACAAGAATTACATATGTATTGTGTTATCATCGCGGGGTGCAATCTTTTTGCATTGTCCCATGTAAAAAAAATTGACTAATCCAAAGTTATTGGTACATGTATCAATTGGGTCTATGAAATACCGATTATCGTCTTGATACCTGCATGTACAAGCGAACTTCGTCTTTCTACAATATCTATTAAGTAAAAAAATTCTTAAACAAGCAAACTTTGTCTTTCTAGAATATCTATCAAGTAAAAATAATTTGATTCGAGATCTGTAGAAATGGATTGAGCAATTTGATACCTCGGTTTATTGATTATTATTTTTTTAGAAATCAGGTTGTCCTTTCAGGGCTTTTGTAGTACATAACTTATATCAACTCGATAAATTCTTGCACTTTTGTAGTGTAAATCACTACAGTAATTATAAATTACTGATGCACACATCTTTCTCCTCTAATTCTGCTTTGAGGACACTTAGAAAATACACTGCTAACATTGTAAGTTTTATTTACATTTTCTGTGGTTTGAAGAAGGTTTCTTGTAATTGTGGGAGTTTTATTTCTAAATTATTATCAGGTAAATTGATTTACACCAAGAATGCTCTCTGAGACTTTGTAAATCGACCATGACTAATACTCATAGCAAAAAGAATCCTACAAACTTGTCTGTTAGGTTACACAAATGACCTAATTCAAATTTTACCTGATGGTTCTTTGAAATTTACGAAATCAAAGGAAACAGAAAAACAATTCAAGTGGTTTTATTTTTAACTTGTTTGAGGTATATTTGGGGTGAAATGTTGTTTCAAAAGTGCAAGTGATTTTTTTATACAAGAAACATGTTCATCTAGCCCTATGTTTACAATGAGAGAAGAAATTATTTTGAACATTAGTTATAAGATTGTTGGCAAATTCAGAAACGAAACAACGTTCAATCTGTTTGTTTTTGGTGAACTGATCTGTGATTATAAACATCTACTGAGCAACAATATTAATGAAATATGTTACCTTATATATTTGTACATATATTTGGCATATTAAAGTAATATAATTCCTAGACAAAAAACAGATATGAACAAATTTAATTCTGAATCAATACAATTTTATTGAATCGATAAGAGGCTGAAAAATGAAATTTGTGTGTTTTTGAATACAAGTATAGATAATATTTTGCTATCCCTCTTCATTGTGTTTATAGAATATTTACATTAGTATATCTTTGTATTCAAATAATTTTTAATGAAACGAAGGGGAAACTATTGTAATAGTTTGGTCATTTCCTTTTATATTTTGGAAAGTATACAACATATTCCATAAATAAAGCTTCCATATTTTATTTGTCTTAAAATTATTTTATCAAATCTTTTTGGCATAGTAATATTAAAGTAATATTAACACTTTACCAATTTTACTGATTCACAATTTGAGTAATTTGTATATCTGTATGTATTGTACTTTAAATAACCGATCTTGGCATATTAATTTAACACTTTACCTGGTTCACAATTTGATGTTTGATATATATATATTGGATGTTTTACACATTTTCTTTTCATGTCATCGTATGCAAAGTGAAAGTAGAACAGGTACATGTAATACATGCATATCCTTTCGTATTTAATGATGTCCTTGTTGAAATAATTGCATAAATGTTGTAAAAAGAGTATGAACTACTATATATGTTTTGATGGAATTAATACGTTTTTCACTAGTATTTTACCTGTATTGTGCAGACAAGTGTTGTAGGCTGCAGACAGTCTATTTTTCTATTTACATGACGGCGAATTGCATTATGGTACTATACTTCCGGTTTATTTTACTCTGGATCCCCGCTGTATATTTATAAGCCCTTGATATTTCGCCAGAAGTAAAAATGAACAGTTATATGGTAATTAATTAATTATTTATTGTTGAATGAATGAAAGTCAAGTTATTATATGGTGAAATATTTATTATTGATCTAATTATTTGAACGGAACTATTTAATTTCTGTATTAAGATTTTTCGTTTTTTTTTTCGTAATATTCCGTATGGATCTATACGAATCCAATGGGTTTCTTATACGATTTTTCACGAAAGTATGTAAGGGGAGATTCTTCCGTAAATCGGAGGAGTCTGCTATTTTTGATTTTTGGGTTAACATCATTTTCTTTGGGGATATAGTCAAAATTGGTAAATATTTGTTATCTTTGAAATCAATTTAATGTAATTTATTAATTGGCTTAATTTAATTAGGGAAAGTTTAATTTTAACAGTTTTGAGAGTTTGTTTAAGATAATAATCTTGATTACTTCAGGGTCCAATCTTATCTAAATTTCCATTTGTTAATTATCTCTGATTCATAAATATATTGTTATGTTTAAAAGATTAGGTTTTTAGCCATATATCTCGATTATTTCGAGATCTGGCTCTTTATTGGGATTGAATTAATATTGTGATATTTATTAGTAAAAGGGTGGTTAAAAGGCCTGGATATTTTTTTTTTTTTTTTGATTTTGCAGACTCAATAAATTTATGAAGCTTTAATTATGAATTAGAGTTGTTTACAGGTGTCTGAAGGGAGTTAATCCCCCTTCTCCTTCTTCTAGAACCACTATACCGCAACATTTTTCTTGGTGTAAGAAGTGGGATAGCCATTGAGCTCTATTCCGCTACATTTTTCTTGGTGTCAGAAGTGTGATAGCTATTTAGCACTATTCCGCTACACTATAATTTGAATGAAAATAATGATTTCAAATTAAAACAAAAAATTAGTCATTAAATACGATGTGCATTGCAATATTTTTTCTCCAGCGAATGTTGAGGAAGATTTTTTTTTTATATTCAGCCTCTACAATGATTTTTTTGTAAATCCTCTTCAATGAATATTTCAATGTAATTAATTGAAACACATATTTAATTTGAGTAAATACTTTTTCTCTGTAATAAGCTAACACAGATTGCATTTTCAAATACAATCTTCAGTTGCGCATTTTGTCCGAAAAACTATTTGTAAATGAAAAATTATTTAAAATGAAAAAAAAAACAAAATTTCTCACAATTTGTGTTGCTATAATTGTTATGCATCTGTCTTTCATGAAAAAGCAGATTTCCGCATTTTTTAAAAATAGGATCAATTTGTCTTCAGAGCCAGGTCTTCATAATTTTGAGAGATTTTTCATCAAAATCTCTTTGATTTTTACTAGAATTTGATTCAGTTATAATTGATAGATTGAAATCTTACGCTTACCACGTAATTTAAATACATGTTTTTAAAGAAATTTGAATTTTGGTTTAATTTTTTGCTACTCTTGTATACCTATGTTACAAACAGACACATTGTTTGACGAACTACATTAATATGATTTACACGTAATAATCCATCATTGCACACCTAATACAGATGGTTACTAATAATTTAAATAAATAATTTTGACAATAACGAATTACGTTTGCTTCAACGATGTAGTAAATGAAAGTTGCTGTTGTATGTTATTAGAAGAGTTCCATTGTACCGAAAACAAGATTGTGGTCAGATCATATAAATATGATTTGATATCTTTAACAGCTTACAATCATTTTTCTAATACACAGGCAAACCTCAGAAAACACGGTATGTTATCTTAAGCTGGCTACTCATTAGTTTAAATGACTTAAAAGGAATAATTTTAATATAGGATATAATATTTCTGGAAACCAGATCAATAGAGAGCTATTTCTTTTGACACTAATTTTCATTTATTTTCAGATGTTGTTCCAAGGAAAATTAATATTCTTCTTCTCGTGTGTCTTAAGGTTTGTACCTATTAACGGGAATTTCGGATTCCGTAACTCCCGGAGATTTTTAGACCAACCATCATTCTTTTCTACAAGATCTAACAGAGTTCTAAGAAGAGGATCTTTGTTGGATTCTGATTTAAGATTATCTAGAACACGTATATCTTCATCTCCATGGAGAGAAGTAAATCAGAGAAATTATTTGGACTTAAGTCCGAGAACTTCTGGAAGATCATTTAGGAACAGTTGGTCTTCTTCAACACGTGTTTCCAGAGGAAGACCACTATATGAAATGCGAGAAAACAGATCAAGAAGAAATAATATTCACGAAATACTGGGACGACAACAAAGTGGTAAAACAAGTAAAGAAGTTCTCAACAGTCCAGTGATAAACGGAAATGAAGACAGATGGGTACAACGAGCTGGAACAGGTACAGTTAGATCCAGAAGAATTGAAGACCTACTGAAGCTGATGTCGCAAAATCGGAGAGCCGACATTTTCAATCCTTTAAAAGGTGATTTTGGTAGAAAAACATCGGCTGAGAGAATGTCAGCAGCTGCAATTTCAAGGCCTTTGCACGTTTCCAGTCGACATGAACAGTTGCGGAGACTGGAAAGTTTGGAACCGGTTGAAAAGAAAAAGACATCTGCAGAGAAGATTTCGGAACCTGAAGTAAAACTTCATAGAAGAATAATTACAAGACCCAAGGAAGTTCGAAATCCAAATGTATTCTTACGAGTAAGAAATACTCCAGTACAACGAAGTAAAATTTTCCAATCTCTGCCCATGGAAAGAAACCATATAATCGCAGAAAAGAAAAAAACATCTGCAGAGAAAATTTCTAAACCTAAATATGAAGTAAAACTTCAGAGAAGAATAATTACAAGACCTAAGGAAGTTCGAAATCCAAATGTATTCTTACGAGCAAGTAATACTCCAGTACAACGTATTAAAATTTCCCAATCTCTGCCCATGGAAAGACATATAATCGAAGAAAAGAAAAAGACATCTGCAGAAAAAGTTTCGAAATCTAATCATCGTACAAGGCTTTCAAATAAAAACGATTCTATAGCTAATCGAAACATTCTTCTCCTTCAAAGATTGAATACATACTTGCGACAGCAACTCGCTTCCAGAAAACATACTAACCCCAAACAAACGATCCAAAGATCAAAGAAAGTCAGCAAAACGAGTAAGGAAATACTGAAGGACAATGACATTAAACCTGCTACGAAAGCACATGTTGTCAATGCCGTCCGCACACCAGAACCTTTATCATCCCTCACTCAAAGGCAACATAGAAGATCACGTTTATTAATGGAGCCAATGCGATTTAATCCCCATCGACGCCGATTACCACAACACCACAGATTGGAATCTAGCCATGGTATTCAGATAGATAACCAAATCCGGTCAAACACAGCGAATAGCGTAATAAAGTCACCAGTGTCCCCTCAGAAGCCTCTTTTTGTGGTTTTGAATCCCTTTACAGGAACTGTTGGTTCTTCAACTTCGTCGATACAGGACAAAAAGAAAGACACAAGTAAAGAAAACAAGAGTGGAGAAAAACTCACGTGGGTGAATCCTTAATCTAATTATATTAACTGGAACATTAATCTAACTTAAATAAAACATAATTTGTAATTTTTTTGTGCATACGTATTTTCAATAAAATATTTTCGAACGTTTTAATTTTATACCCAACCCTAAACCATTTTGAAAAATTGGACGATAGTCAAACTAAGAACAGTAGCAACTTTTTTCATTTAAATAATAATTATGTGTGTGTTATTTTTTTTATTGTAGTAAGATTAAAGATTAAATCAATTTTGATTGACATTTTCCTAATAAACGTAATGAGTTTTACTAATTATTCTGTCATCCATTGACATTTTCCTAATAAACGTAATGAGTCTTACTAATTATTCTGTCATCCGTCATCATTTTCTGTCAAATTATATATTTATTCATAGTGAAATTATGTTTCTCCTTGTACATGTCTATAATTAGGAAAAAGCACACAGTGAATTGAGTTTACTTTTCTCTATTCAAAATAAGGTGTAAGGCGTTTTAATTACAAAACTTTCCCCCTCACTCAGTGTGCTTAATTACTAGCAGTATTATCTAATATCGTCTGGTATTTTGGCATTTCTAAAATAAGTGAATGTACCATAGTACAATTACAATGATTAAAAGTTGAGCCATTAATGTGTTTGTTTATTCTTCATGCATTACTTTGTAAACACATCACCCTGCTTTTAAAGAAGTTTCATTTGACCACAAAATGTGATCGCTCAATAAATTTTAACTAAGTATTTAATAGCAGGTTGCAACCTTTGAACTCTCTCAACGACAACTAGTTACATAAAATCTCGTGTTATGAACGATACTTTGATCAACATAGCTGTCAAATTTAATAGAAAAAAATCGTTTTAACGAATATTAACTAGTTAACTTGAATTGCATTTACATAAGCACATTTACAGGCTACTGTAGCTTTAAATGAAACGAACATATCATATAAAAAGAGCGTATGACCACACATTATATAGAAAACCATGGAGTGCAAAAATTTATCGACAAATTTAGTTTTGTCATACTGATGATCAAGTTACCGAATATAAAATGCTCTAATCGCTTTTAAACTGTTTCAAAGATTTTGTTTTAATTGGGAAGTGTTCGATTTATCAAATAAGCGTCCAAATAGTCGGTGGTAGAGAGTATATTTACACGTTGAATGATATGTTTCAGTTTTTCTGTATTGTTGACAGATTTTTTATGAAATGCGATTTCATAGATTATACGTAGTTTGAGAAAAAAATACGAATCACAAAAATTTACTTATTTTTCGAAATGTTACAAAAACGAAGTCATTATACCTACCAGAAATTACCACGAAGATGGCTTGTATCGTTTTATTTAAAAAATAATATTTATTTCAACTGCCTGCAATTCAAAGTTTTGTAACAAATATTTCTCACAGATTACATGTATAAAAGTTCTACCACAAATTAAATACATTATATACATGTAGAACTTCTACTATATCGGTGTCACACTCGTACATGGAGTCGATAAAATATACACATTCCTCCTAATTCATCAATAAGATGGATTTTCATTGATTACCCACCTTATTTGACAGATGAGTTAGAATCAATGTTTCCTATCATAGACACCCTTGTCTTTTTCTTACTTTTAATGAATGATTGATAATGAGATGAAAATAACCTATTTTACAACAATTCGTGTTTGATAAAAAGTTGATGACAGCTAAGAAAAACTATTCATCTTCTAGACTGTATGTTCTGTCATAAAACTCGATCTTATTTCTTTATTGTTTAATAGATCTATATACAAAAAGGAATATTGTCTTTACTCGAACATTCTTAAAATCTTGTATGGCGTATTTTTGATAAATTCAGACTAACTAAAATTAAAAGGATCTGTGTATTTGTTTATATTTTTTATGAAGAAAGGACTTTCCTGTATATTACACAATTAAAATTAATCGGGTTTCAGAAATATCCGAAATTGAAACGATAACAGATTTATTTTTATTTTTATTTTACGGACTTTTGATCTTGAATTCTGTTCGTTATCTCCAATTGTTTCATTATTTACTCTGCATTTAAATTGTCAGACACAATTTAAAGTTAATTTAGTTAAACACATGGGGATATTTAAGTTCCGAATTGGTGAAAAAATTAATTGGTGAACGTAAATAGCAAATAATTTGTAAATCTACACTTTATCTCGTATTTTTATTTAATTTTTTTTTTAATCTAAAACACACCATTTGTAGCTTTAAGGAAATAAGAAGTTCCTTGGTAAAGGAAATAAGATGTTACCCGATAAAATTTTTTCTAGGATTTCCCGTCAGACCTTCATTAAAAGTTTTTTTTTTAACTCTTAACTTTATTTTTTCTTTTCAAAGGGATATTTACTGATCATTATATGATCCTCTAGATGAAGAATATACATTCCAGTATGCTGTGTACGACTATATTGTACACCGTAATTGTTTTTTAAAATTTTATACTAATTTAATTAATGTATACGATGACTTATTTATGATTATTATGTTCTAAGGGCCAAAATCAAAATCAGAAATATAGGATAGCAACTGGTATCACCAAGTGTCAGTAAAATTAGTGTGTCAATAAAGTTCGCAAAGAAACGTTGTGGTTATGTTCATAAAGAACACGTGCTAAAAGTTTTGCTAACGTAATACGTATAATTCAACAAACACGGGGTTGAGGAGAAGTTATTCAGAGTAAAGGGTTAACTATACATTATTTCCCTTTATGAAATATTTGGAATGGACCTCAAAAACATGAGGTCGGATCAGGTGTCAAAGAGGAGTAAGCATCCCCTGCCGACCGGTCACACCCGATGTGTTCTACTATAAAGATTGGGAAATAACGAAAAAATCCGTTGTCGATTTAGTGTGTGAATAATTGACTAACAGTTCTCGTTATATATGAAAAAGTCAGTCAGCATTTGACTTAATGATAAATTATGTTTACTGATAAGGCCATTGTATCGACCAAAGAACTTACGAAATGATGACTTCAAACTAGACTGCTGATATCTTCGTTTCATCAATTTGTTTGTCAATAATTTACCTGGTTTAAATACTCGAGTTTCTGATTGACAATATCTATCTGGTTTTGGAGACCTGGTTTTCCAGCAATCGATTGGAATTTTCATTAGTACCAATTGTGCACAGTTATTAGGAGACTTATTTTTGTATTCATATGAAGCAGAATTTGTTCAAAATCTTTTCTATCGTCAACTGCCCTTACTTATGCAGCTATATACCTTCATCACCTGCATACGGAGTGTATATATCTCAGTTGATTCGAGACGCAAGAGCATGCTCTACGTATGAACAATTTCTAAGACGAGGTAAATTATTGACAAGGAAGTTGATGAAACAAGAATAGCAACAGTCTCGATTAAAGTAATCATTTCGTAAATTCTATGGTCGAAACAATGACCTTGTCAGCAAATACAATTTATCATTGTTAGACAAATGACTTTTTCCGAATTTTCCGATCATGACCAGTTTTCATACTAATTGTTAGTCCATTATTTATACACTGAATTGAAAAGAGGAAACACTTGTGGTGGCCTTAAACTTCACAATTAGGTATATTGACGACGTATTGTCAATTAATAATAGTTATTTCCATTCTGCTGTCAATTTCCTGCTTTATCATGATTAACGTGATGACTTCAGCTTTTCAATCGTCAGCTTCCATTACTTATGCAGCAATATACCTTTGTCACCTACATACAGAGTTTATTTCTGGCGGGCATGTGAAATTAGTTATTGATAAACAAATTAATGAAGCAAGGATATCAGCAGTTTCATTTGAAGTTATCATTTCGTAAGTTCTATGGTTGATATAATGAGTTGTCCAAGAACCCCCCCCCCCCCAACATGACAAGGAGTACACCGCAGCTGTGAGTGGTCGGCAGGGGGATGCTAATTCCTCCATGATACCTGATCCCCCCCTCTAATGTTTTTGGATAACCGTGTTTGCTCCGTTCCTGTTTTGTAATGTTAATTGAGCTCGGATACTGTTCGTCATCTCCACAAATTTCATCCATTGGATTGTAATATAGTTTATTTGGAAAACTTTTACATGTTTGCAAAAGTAAAAAGAAGAAAATTTTGCAAGATAGATTCTGTAATAATGTAAAACAAATTGTGCATTTAAATGTATTGTAAATAGATAATCCATATCTTATATTTAGAAAAAGATGTACGATTCTAATTTTTTTTTGTCAATTTGTTTAAGCATAAACTCTTTTAGACAATCAATAATTACTCGAACGGTTGTGCTTAAAAATTGAATAAAAACATGAGACGTATTTTTCATTACAATACAAAAAAGTAAAAAAAAGTTAATCACTCAATTTGTCAATTATGAAATAAAGAAATTCCTTTTTGGGTGGGTGGATAGGGTTGAGGTGGGGGATTGAAAGACGGGGTAATTATCCTATTATCCTTACTTTAAATATACCATCTCCTAACTGTATACAAATGCCTGTATAATCTTTGGATACATGCATGTACATATGATTACAAAATAAGTATGTTATTGGATCATTCCGTTCAGTGAGGTTTCAGTTCATAGTACATAACAATATCATCATGGATATTTTTATTTATATCTTATCTAATTGACATAGTGTCATCAATATGATTTGAACAAATCAAACAACCTGCATAAAAGTGATCAACACCCTTAGTTATTATCCAGATCAATAGCGTTTAATATAAAGAGAGCTAGGTTAAGATAAAAAGTAATTAAATTAATTAAATTTTGGTATCAAAAGTTATGAAAAAAATATTTATATGTTGAAAACCGCAAACAAGATTATTTAAATAACTTAATTGCAAATAAATAAGACCATAAATGCTTACAAAAATGATGACTGTCACTAAATAGATTATCCCCGTTTTAACTCTGTATGATGTACCCGAGTAACGTGAGTTTTTAAGCTATGTTTAATGATACAAGTGAATTATTCAATTAATTGCATTTCATACTGAAAGACCTTGATCCCATAACATTGAAAGATACAAAAATAGAACTTCATCGATCTCGTTTCTCTGTTTCAATGGCAAAATATTTTATATAACATGTTTGGAGAGTAACTATGCAAATAATTACAATTTATATCGATGTTCTGTCTAATTTTTATGTATTTTTAAATCCTTTTTCATGCGCGATTGAATAATTAGTAGAAACAAACACTATATGTAATTGCTATTATTCATTTGTTAACGGTTGAAGAATGACTCAAAATATCTTTAATTAAAATTCTTTTAACCATAAGATATAATTTAAAATG